GGAGGGTCCAGGATGCCAGGCCACTCCCATCAGCACTGGAGGAGGAGGGTCCAGGATGCCAGGCCATGCCCATCGGCCCTGGAAGAGGAGGGTCCAGGATGCCAGGCCACGCCCATCTGCCCTGTCCTGGTTGCTTCCCCGGTCTAAGTATTCCATCACACGACTCCTCAATATCTGTGCCAGTTCTGTGCAGGGTGTCACCGGCATCTCTGTGCTGGGGCTAAAGCTCTGCAGGCGAGTGGCGAAGGGCCCCGCCCTGGAGGCCTTGCCTTCTAACCAGGTCCTTGTTTCCCAAATCATTCCTGCCCACTCCACCCCCCTACACCCCCATGCCCTAACTGAACAACCAGGTGGCTTGTGCAGGGCTAGGACTAGGGTGGGGCCCAGAGACCCAGTTTAAGGAGCTGCCCTCTCTTGGGGCCATGGAAGTGTAGTACAGCATCTTGTGGCACTGCAGCTGCAGCCTTGTGCCAATGCAGCAGCTCTGTGCCCAGGGTATGTTGGGGCCCAGGTCCAGAGGAGGGCAGAGCCACCTGGCCTGGGCCACCAGCTGTCCCCAAGGTCCAGTTCCTCTGCACAGCCACCAGCCTGCCATATGAGGGGACATCGCTAAGGGTGGACCCAGTGACTGTGTGCCCGTTGGGCCTGTTCCTGGCACTGCCTTCCCCAGACCTGACACATCTTTTAATTCTCCAGCCCAGTGTCCAGTCTCCTGCCTTCCTGGGAAGTCAAAGCGGGCAAAGCTCTAGGGTGTAGCGCCAGCCTCCTGGTCCTCGTGGGTTCCTTGAGTTTTGCCGGACTCCTCCTGGCCTCCTCCAGGGATTATCCTCCCCCTGCCTCTCAGCCACAGACATCCTTGTCATGCAGCTCACCTGTTTCCAGGTCATTCATAGTACAGGGGAGTCCTGTGGCTGGCCGGCGCCTCCTGGGCCTGTATCTGGGTTCCCAGTATGGGAGAAACACCAGGGATGCCCACCCGTACCTCCTCCCATCCCTTCTCCCATACGTCTACCCATTCCTCCTCCTACCCCTCCTCCCATCACTCCTCCCTAGGGCTTCTCGGCTTTGGTAGAAAGCTTTCCATGTTTCCCGAGAGCCCCTGGCATTGTGGGGGTCCCACCATGGTGAGCTGCCCTGGTCAGTGGAGGAGCATCGTCCTGACATGGCAGGCTTTGAGGCAGGGGTGGCATCATTTATTCGTCCCCTCATTCATTCATTCATGACCTTGGAATGTCTGTTCTAGGTCAGGCACCATTCTGCATTAGGGCTAGAGCAAGGGGTGAGAGCCATCAGGGAGCTTTGGCCCTAACTCAGACAGGGTTTCCTGAGAGTCTGGACTCGTGAGTGGAGAAGATAGGAAGTAACTGATGGGAATCAGAAGCTGACTCTGTAAGACAAAACCTACCCAGGCTCAGTTGTTGGATTAAATGAAAACCAGCCTGACTTGCACAACTAGTCTAACTAGTCTGTGCAGTTAGAAGTCAGGGTAGGTTTGAGCAGGGTTTCCTAACCTCGGCACTTTGGAAAGTTAGGGCAGACTATTCTTTTAGTGGGTCTGTCCTGTGCACAGTGGGATATTGAGTGGCATCCACAGCCTCTATCCACTGGATGCGAGCAGCATTCCTCTCAGTTGTGACAATAAAAAATGGCTTCAGACATTGCCAAATGCCCCTGTGGGCAACATTGCCCCTGACTGAGAATCACTGGACTAAAGTTTACTTGGGCCTTCCTGGGGTGGGGGCTGGTAGTATTCTCTTTCTGATCAGGTGCTAGTTACATGGAAAGTTCACACTGTGAAAATTCATCAAGCAGCACATTTACAATTGGAACCCCTTTCTGTATGTAGGTTATAGCCAGTAAGAAGTTCATTTAAAAAAGGATCACAGGAAAATAAGATGAAGGAACTGTCCTAAAGTTTCAGGATTTTCAGCAACAGTGAGTTCTGAAGGTGTCAATAGAGTCTCATAAAAGCCCCCAAAGAAATCAATCTGAGGTTGTTTTGAAAAGTCATAGATCGTCCCCAAGGAAGTGGTCAGCCCACACACTCAGCTTGGTTGATCATTGGCAGATGGGGCCCTTGCCCTGACCCCATACTTTCAGTAGCTTCCTGAGCTCTAATTCTCTCAGAGCCTGACACACAGTAGGTCTCAGCGATGACATCGTGTGGGTGCAGATTGCACAGTACTATAGATGGCTGGCTGGGTGTATGCAAGCTGTTTTCTGAGCTTTTTGCTGAACTGCTTTGAAACTTTGATGAACAAAAGTCAAGCATATTTTCATTATTTTTGTTTTATAGTTAGTGACAAAACTGAAAAAAAAAAAAAAAAAGAAAACTAGAGGTATAATAATGGTGGCTGGTGAGGCACATTTTTGTGTCTCCACATATTGGAAAATGAGGCCATAATTAACATCTCTACTTAGAGAGAGGTTTAACATGACATACCATTAAGGGAGAAAGCCAAACTGAAACCTACTTAGAGGGTGTTTTCAATCAACAAAATTCAGACATAGAAAAAAAGACTGGAAAATCAAAGAACTAAATAAATGGAGAGGTATCCCATGTTCATGGATAGGAAGATTCAATATTGTCAAGATGTCAATTTTTATAGACCCAACACCATTCCGGTCAAAACCCTAGCAAGCTGTCCTGTGGATATCAAAAAAGACTGTTTGCTTACTCTGTATCAGGACTTAGAAAAAAAGACTGCACGGACACACATTCAAACATCAGTAGGTGTCACTGCATGTTATTATGAGTGATTTTAATTTTTTTCTTTGTGCTTTTCTGAATTTTCTGCAATGAATATGTTACTTTTTTTTCTAAAAAAAAAAAAGAAAGAAAGAAAGAAAAAAGAATGAAGGAGAGGAAGAAAGAGAAAGAGGAAGAGGGAGAGAGAATGCGGGTGTTGCTTTATTGCCCGGGCTAGAATGCAGTCTAAAAATGGGTATGCCTATAATTGTGCTTAATAACAGAGACATGAAAAAAAAATGAGGGAAGAAAATAACAAACAAGCAGCCAGCCAATATTTCATTGAAACTTGTAAATAGATGTGATGTGGTACTGCTAAGAGTGTATATTTTGTGTATTTAAAGTGGAGAGTTCTATAAATGTTAATTAAGTCTACTTGTTCCGGATCTGAGTTCAAATCCTGGATATCGTTGTTAATTTTCTGTCTCATTGATCTGTCTAATACTGATGTTGAAGTCTCCCACCATTATTGTGTGGGAGTCTAAATCTCTTTATAAGTCTTATATATCTGGGTATTCCTGTATTGGCTGCGTATATATTTATGATCTTTAGCTCTTCTTGTTACATTGATCCTTTTATCATTATGTAATATCCTTCTTTGCTTCTTTTGAGCTTTGTTGCTTTAAAGCAACTCCTGCTTTTTATTTATTTATTTATTTTTGCTCTCCATTTGGTTGGTAAATCTTTCTCCATCCCTTTGTTTTGAGTCTTTGTGTATCCTTGCATGTGAGATGGGTCTGGATGCAGCATGCCGATGGGTTTTGGCTTTTTTTTTTTTGCCTGTCTGTGTCTTCGCATTGGGGGATTTAGTCAATTTAAATTTAGAATTAATAATAATATATGTGAGTTTAATACTGCCATTTAATGTTAGCTGGCTGTTTTGCCTATTAATTGATGTAAATTCTTGATTATGTTGATGCTCTTTACTTTTTGTTATTTTTTAGAAAGGCTGATATTGGTTGTTCCTTTCTATGTGTAGTGGTTCTTTCAGAAGCTCTTGTAAAGCAGGCCTGGTGGTGATGAAATCTCTGAGTGCTTGCTTGTTTGCAAAAGATTTTATTTTTCCTTCGCTTATGAAACTTAGTTTGGCTGGATGTAAATTTCTGGGTTGAAAGTTCTTTTCTTTAAGGATGTTGGATATTGGCCCCCACTCTCTTCTGGCTTGTAGGGTTTCTGCTGAGAGATCTGCTGTGAGTCTGATAGGCTTCCCTTTATGAGTAACCTGACCTTTCTCTCTGGCTGCCCTCAGTATTTTCTCCTTCATTTCAACCCTGCTGAATCTGGCAATTATGTGCCTCAGGTTGGTCTTCTTGAGGAATATCTTTGTGGTGTTCTCTGTATTACCTGGAGTTGAATATTGTCCTGCCTTGCTAGGTTGGGAAAGTTTTCCTGAATAATATCCTGAAGTGTATTTTCCAGCTTGTATTAATTCTCTTCGTCACATTCAGGTACACCTATCAAACGTAGATTAGGTCTTTTCACATAGTCCCATATTTCTTGGAGACTTTGCTCGTTCCTTTGTATCCTTTTTTCTCTAATCTTGTCTTCTCGTTTTGTTTCATTAAGTTGGTCTTCGACTTCTGATATCTTTTCTTCTGCTTGATCGATTTGGCTGTTAAAACTTGTGCATAGGGCCGGGCGCGGTGGCTCAAGCCTGTAATCCCAGCACTTTGGGAGGCCGAGGCGGGTGGATCACGAGGTCAAGAGATCGAGACCATCCTGGTCAACATGGTGAAACCCCGTCTCTACTAAAAATACAAAAAATCAGCTGGGCATGGTGGCGCGTGCCTATAATCCCAGCTACTCAGGAGGCTGAGGCAGGAGAATTGCCTGAACCCAGGAGGCGGAGGTTGCGGTGAGCCGAGATCACGCCATTGCACTCCAGCCTGGGTAACAAGAGCGAAACTCCATCCCAAAAACAAACAAACAAACAAACAAACAAACAAAAAAACAACTTGTGCATAGTTCGCGAAGTTCTCGTGTTGTGTTTTTCAGCTCCATTAATTCACTTATATTCCTCTATAAATTGCGTATTCTTGTTAACATTTCGTCAAACCTTTTTTCAAAGTTCTTAGTTTCTTTGCATTGGGTTAGAACAAGTTCTTTTAATTCACAGAAGTTTCTTATCATCCACCTTTTGAAGCCTGCTTCTGATAATGGAACACACTCCTTCTCCATCAGGCTGATGAGGAACTGTGATCCCCTGTAGAGGGAGAGGCGTTCTGATTTTGGGTATTCTCAGTCTTTTTAGGCTGTTTTCTTCCCTTCTTTATAGATTTATCCATCTGTGGTCTTTATAATTACCGTCTTTATAGTTGGGTTTCTGAATGGACGTCCAACTTGTTGATTCCCAGCGCTAAAATCTGAGCAACCCACTGCACCGGCCAAAACAGCAACGTTAAGATTGATGGTGCTTTTCTGACTCTGCACCAAGAACCGCCGCACCAAGGCAGCGGCAAAACCGCCTCGCCGGCCACAAGAGTCGCGCTGGCGACCCGTGGGGCTCCTCTCCTGGGAATCACCTGGTGCGTGAGCAACGAAAGTTCATCTGAAAGTATGGCGCCCTCTCGTTCTCTGCACTTTCAGTGGGAGCTACAATCCTGAGCTGCTAGTGATCAGCCATCTTGGATCTCTCTCGAATATGTGTTACTTTTAACGTTAGAAAAGAGCAAAAAACTTTTTTCAAAGGAAGAAATGCAGAAAGAAAGAAGACAAGCCAGAGACAGGCTGAGGCAGATGAGTTTAACAGCAGAGCCTTTTCATAACTGACTGGATGGGGCCCAGGAGTGTCACCAAGGCTGGCTGTCGTACATCTCCTCCCTGGGATCTGGCAGACCCTCCTGTGCAGGGGTTCTGCTGGGGCAATCATCCTGCAGAGAAGTGCAGTTCAGGCTGGCCTGGGACCTGGGCCCCTCTGTGTTTTATATCTGCAGAGATGGAACACCTGGGAAGCATCCAGTTTTCCATGGCTTAGATCCCATCCAAGAGGGGATCATTCCTCCAGCTGGGGTCTTTTACTTTAAAAGGACTTTATAATAATTGATGAAATGGATATTGTCAAGAAATTCAACTGCAGTTCACAGTCAAGTGCCTCTGTTTACAGAACCCACAGTGGAAGGGCCCCAAGGAGGCCAAAAGGCACTTAGGGACTTGCCCCTCACAGTCTGCTAAGCCTTCAAGGCTGGAATCCAGCACTACTTCCTCCAGGAAGCCTCCTCTGATTTCCTGGGCTCACAGAGCTTGCTCTCTTGCTTAAAGCACTTGCTTAAAGCACTCTCTTGCTTAAAGCACTCAGCCCCATCCTGGGTCACTGAGCTTTTTCTCCCTTGCAAAGGAACCAGGTAAAGGGGATCAAGCTGAGGAGGGCGCCATATTTCTTCTCTGCCACTTCCTGACTGCATTAATGAGCATGGTTTGGCTTTCCCAAAAGCTGACCACTGGGCAAGAGTAAGTCGTTGTTGATCCCAGGAAGCCTGGTAGGGGTGCGGGCAAGTGAGTGAGAGAAAGGAAGATGCATCAACACACAGGTCACAGCTCTGGCCAACTGGGGCTCCCTCCTAGCGGGGCTGTGTGGGAGACTGTGGAGCACACCCCACTGAGGCACGAAGAAACTGATTTCATCCATACACTGCTGCCACTCCTGGCAGAGGGCAACTGCAGGCACTGCCTCCCCAGCATGTCTGACCTGCACTGCAGACAGGCTGGCACACTCCCAGGGTGGTCCTGTGGCCTGATATTGCCACCGGCAGACAGATAGATGTGGCCTTTGGCTGGAATGATGGGAGCCATCTGCAGGTGAGCTTGCCAAGGGTGTGGGGACAGAGCATCATCAGAGCCTGTTTCTGTGTCCTCTGGTGACCCCAGGACCCGTGAGACTGCACCCGGGTCCTGCACAGGAGTGGCATTTGATGATTAGCCAAGGGCCCAGGGGAGTTGAACAGTGAGGCTACCTGCCTCTTCTCTGAGTCTCTGTCTCCTCCGGCCCAAAGCAGGTACTCAGGGAAGTTTGATGAAGAAAACAGAGGGTAAGGAGTGTTCATGCCAGCTCCAACCCCATCTGGAGAGGTCACAGAGCATTTATTCATTCAACAAATATTTACTGGCAGGCTTTATCTGCCAAGCCCTAAACTTAAGCCTGTCCCAAAGGCTGGCTGTGGCTAAGAGATCCTGACTCAAAAGAGGGACCCCTAGTCAATTGAAAAACAAGTGAAGGCAAAGGCTGGGGGTGTGGGGTGCATTTACAGGCAGCATGCATGGTGCACATAGCTTGGGCTTTGGAATAGGATAAGCCCAGGCTCACAGTTCAGTTCTGCCACCTCCCTGCTGTGCATCCTGGGCACATTCCTTAACCTCTCTGAGCACATCTCCTCATCTGCAAAAGTGGGCCACAAATAAGGCTACAGGGTCACTTGAGGATTCAATGACATCATGGACATCAAGTACTCAGCACAATGCCTTCCACATGGTGAGTGGTCAACATGGTGTCACCATGGTAATGGGTGGTTAGATGGGACTCTCTTTGCCCAGCATTTGTGCCTGAGAGCAAAGATGCTGGATGCCCACACCTTCTAAAGAAAGAGGAAGCCAGAACCTCTCTGAAGGAGGGGTCAAGGGGAGACTAAGGGGTCAACCTTGGCCCATCGTCAGTTGCTAAACATGGCTAAGGGACTGGAGGGAGGGTGTTTTGGAGAGAGCCTGGCGTTTCCAACCAACATGTTGGAACCCCTTTCTTCAGAGGACATTCCTGCACATGTTCTTCAGCCTGCCTCTTAGGCCTTATTGATTTCGATAGGGACTACACCAGGTAGGTTCAAGAGGCTGAAGGAGAGACCCAGAGCCAGCATCGAGATCTAGGGTTTCATTAGAGGGAAACTTCCATACAGGGACGGACCAGTGGTGGATGGCTGGACAGGAGAACCTCAACTGCTTGCAAAAAGCATGTGGTTTATGTAGCATTTTTCCTTAGCACCTCCCCCTAACAACCTCCACCTGGCAACCTCACATAATCCAAAACACAGGGCCTCGATCCCCGGTGTGGCCCGTATTCCATAGGATGGGCCCGGGGGCTCAGATGTTCCTCAGCTAAGGAATGAATCTCTGGGTTGGCCACTCCCAGATTCCTTAGCTTGGAACTCTGAACAGAAAATCTTCTCAGACAATGGGGCATTCTCAGGGTGCGCCTCGGTTACGCTGTTGCTCTCAGGTACGTCTACCACCCACTGCTCCATATTCTTCCAAAACCCCAAGGGTAGCTGTTATCATCCTTCTGTTACAGATGAGGAAACTGAGGTTTAGGTTTAGAAGGAGATCACTACCCCAGGGCCACACAGCTAAATCCAGGTCTCATGTTAGTTTCACTGAACTAGTGGCACTGATGACAACAGCTGACACTTGGGCAATTCCCTGGCAGGTGCTGTGCCAAGCATCTTCTTCCTGAAACCACCACTTATAGGTTGTGCTGCAAGAGTAAGTTCTCCAGTATCTCTAAGCTAAAGTTTTTCCTGGGAAGACTGGATAAGATGCAGGGCACCAGGGCTTAGCACAAGGCCAGATACTCATTCTATGGAGCACCATGGAACAAACATTATAGAAGCCACCGACAGTTTTGAGATTCCTTGGGGGAGGACATCTAGACCTGCTCGAGTCAGAAGATGCCTTCATGGCCAGAGTGTCTGCTAAGCCTGGTGCCACTCAGAGAGAGAAAACAACCCTGCAAAACAGTTCAAGGGACTCTGTGCTAGTCAGGGAGACCTGGAGGAGAAGAAAGGTGAGTGAAAGAGCAGGTGGGGCAGGCTGGAGGGGAAGACAGCCCTCCAGTGATGACTAGGGTTCCAAGGGGAGCAAACCCTACTGTGGGGATTTAAAAAAATTTTCATGTCATTTGCTGAGAGGCTTCAATGTGCCTTCCTTCCCTTGTGCTCCAGGAAATTTTCAGCAAAGTTCATATTTCTCTCTTATGTAGTTATGCAAGTGGGTTCTTCTTGGGAAACACTGCTGTTGATAGTGGTGGTGATGATGGTGATTGTGAAGATAGTGGTGATGGTGGTGGTAGTAATGGTGATGATAGTGATGGTGATGATGATGGCAATGATGCTGATGCTGATGGTGATGATGGTGATGATGATGGTGTTGATGGTGCTAATAATGAGGATGAGAGTGATGGTGGTGGTGGTGATGGTGGTGGTGATGATAACGGTAGTGGTGATGATGGTGGTGGTGATGGTGATGATGATGGTGATGGTGATGATGATGGTGTTGGTGGTGCTAATAATGAGGATGAGGGTGATGGTGGTGGTGGTGATGGTGGTGGTGATGATAATGGTAGTGGTAATGATGGTGGTGGTGATGGTGGTGGTGATGATGATGGTGATGGTGATGGGGATGATGATGGTGTTGGTGGTGGTTATGATGATGGTGATGATGGTAATGGTGATGATGATGGTGTTGGTGGTGGTTATGATGATGATGATGGTGATGATGGTGATGGTGATGATATTGGTGTT